TTCATCTACATGTGGCCTTCATCTTTGCTTAAAGGATCAAGCCCTGATTCTCACTAGATCAGGAGATCTAAACCCTAGAATAAGGGTAAGAAGAAACTAAACCCAGAGTGTCAGTTAGGGTTTGGAAACAGAATTGATTAACTATCTTTGTGGATTAATTGGTGATTAATTATCAAGCAAACACTACAACCAATAACACCATTGCATAGTACAAATTTCATACTTTGAAATGATGCTAAAATTTGTAACAAGTTTATTTATGAAATTTATTTTTATAAATCCTTCAAAATTGAACTCAAGCCAAAATCCGAGACAACCAATTTGTCAAAGTGCTTGAAACTCAAGTTTGAATTCAAGGTTGGAGCTCAAATTTTAATGGTTTGGACTTGAATTCATACCCTACACTTGACATTAGTGTAAAGTACACACTTTACACCTCAAAGTTTATTAGGGTACAATTCCAAGTATTTTGGTGAAATTCAAAATTAAAAGGTCACAAAGTACCTTAAAGAATTTCGGAGTTGTAACTCAACACACCACCATATGCATTGCAAAGCTAAGATTAACATTGATTTTAGTGAATGCACAACATGGTTAGCTACTAAGGACGTGTCGGTGTTTCGAATCACCGACTAGTAAATTTGTGATTTGCGCAGTCTGGCCCGGATGGTGTGTTCGGAGGACACAAGAATTTATATTGGTTCGGGTGGAATGTCCCTACGTCTAGTCTGTTGCTGCTCGTTTTACCGGCACTAGTTTGTAGTAGGGGTTACAAACGGGGGAGAGAGGGAGCAGGTCCCAAGTCTCTGATGAAAGGGTCGAACGGAGTTGAGTCTCGTCGAGCTCGTTCAGCCGTGCCCTTCGTGGGGCGTCCTGCTTCCGCTTTTATAGATGTAGGGAAAGGCGCAGGTTACACGAGAGAAAGAGAGAGAGAGAAAAAAGCGAGTAGGAAGAAGGCCTCCGAGGTCGCGGCGCCCTTCATCTCCTTTACGCGGGTCCCGCCGGTCCAATAGATGATGACGGGGACGGCTCCACGTCGCGACCCTATTCATCACTAGCGCTATACGGGCGTCGTCAGCCGGTCGTGGCGCTCCATTCCGTCCCGGCGGGCGGCATGGTTAGTAGGTACCCCCGTCGGAAGTCGTACCTGGATTAGGTAGCATAGTGCCGGCACGCCCGACATTGTTGGCGACGTGAGTCCTCAGGTATGGCCCGTCGTGGCTACGGGTGACGTCAAGACGCGCCTACTCCCTTTCTGGTGTCAGAAGTTTGACCTTGGGTTCGTACTCTTAGACCCGTAGTGGTTGAAGGCGGTATGGACCCCCGTTGGGCGAGGCGGAATCCCCCTTCGAGGGGTCTGGCGAGGCGAAGTCCGCGCCCGAGGGGTTGGACGAGATGGAGCCCACGCCCTCGGGGTCAGACGTGACGGAGCCTGCGCCCGAGGGGTCTGGCGAGACGGAGCCCGCACCGTCGGGGTCGGGCGACACGGAGCCCGCACCCTCAGGGTCGGGCGAGACGGAGCCCGTACCTTCGGTTCGGGCGAGACCAAAATACGCTCTTGATCATCCGGGCGAGTTAGCGTTCGCGACCATCAGCCTCCTTCTTCCAGATATCCCTAATACTGATACCCGACTGGATGCTTACTGTGCCTGATGATGACATGATCAAGTTTTAATAATGCTTAACACCAGAGATGTTACAATAGGATCCCTCACCTTGATTCTTAGATGGGACCGTTTCACCTGTGTGTTTAGTTTCAAGAGATAAGTTTATCCTAATTTTTTGTTTAGGTGAAAGATTTTAGATGGATGGATAACACATATTTTTCACATCGTTAGTCGCCATTATCAATCGATCCCACTTGTCATCGGTGGCCTCCACCTATCACCCCCCTTGAATTTTTTCTCATTTCTCCTTTTTTTTTTTTGCACGTTTATCTTCTCCGCATGACTGCTTCTTCTATCTCTATACCGCGAGCGCTTGCTCTTTTTGTTCGATTGCATGCACAATCATATCTCAGGGAACCGTACACCCCCTTTGGGATTGGGATGGGATCGAATAAAGGGATCAAAACCTGTGCCTTTTGGAGGATTCGTCAACCACAAATTCTCGAGGAAAGCTGCTCACAAAAACTACTTTTCGAGATTTTCTTGTATTATTGCACGTGAAGCTGGAAGTGTTTTCCCTTGGTTGAAAGCGTGTGTGCAGGAGACTCTCAGCATCCTATCCTATCCCATACTAGTAATTTTGACCCTCCCTCCCACGGTGAAGTGACTCAAGGACGACGTAGGACAGTAACATGCATGGTTATATTATTGATTGCATGTTGCCGCGGGTCCCCTGTGTCAGCGACAGGGGATGATGGGAGGGAAGAGGAGGAAGCCTCTCGCGGTCGTGTGCTCACGTACGTGGCCGTGGCAAACGGCCAAGAGTCCGGTTTTTCCACAGCCACCTTCCCGGGAAGGCCAAGCCTGCGCTTGGCTGCACTACTTGAAGCACTGCTGCTGCAAAGTAAGTGGTAAACAGTGCAAAAACAGCAACAACTGCACCTGCCTGTAGCCTTCCAAGAACGAACGTGCACCCAGACGCGGGAAAAGAAGTTGGTCCTACCTACCAGCTCATTTGTACGTACTGTATACATACAGTATAGATACGGTAATACCAAAATCGTACTCCAATATTCTAATAATGCAAGCAAGTTGGTCCATGCCATGTTCCTCTCCGTACCAGTTCAGTTCGGCGAGATCCACTCCCCCCAATGTCGATTCTTGAAACAAGCCGATTCTTTGGTTTAATAACACCCCCCCCCCCCCCCCCCAATGTAAGTTTTCTTGTAATTTCCAAATATGCCTTTGTGCTTGTTGGTTCGGACCTGAGAAGATTGTAGCCTGCATATCTATTTAATTTTGACAGTACGTACTGCTGCCCTGTTTTTTCAACTACACTTTTCCTTTTCCTTTCTTAATGATCATGTCACGTTTTCTTTGAATTACTGAAGATCTTTCTAAAAATTTGCTAGTGTAGAAGATCTCTCAACTGAACCCTAACTTTTAAATCATCAACTGAACTTACTAACACTCCCTAAAAAGTCAAAACAATTTATAATTTGGAACGGATGGAGTACTATATTACTAATCGTGAACTGAAGTTGTTTTCATACCAGACATAGTTTTTATCAATGATGTATGCATACTGAGTTGTGCGATGGCAGAGAAAATGACTTAGGAAAGGCTATCGGTGATGAGCCTTTTTAAAAAAAATAACGATAAGCAGGCAGGAGGTCCTAAGGTGTGGGATGGAGGCAGATCCAGGTCCAGAGGCCGTGGAAAGGTGATCGCTTGTTCGATTGCACAATCTCAGGGGAAAGTGCATGCCTTTTTATTTGGTCGAGGAATTCGTCATCCAAAAGCTGCCCATCGTGTACTATGAGCTTTTTTATTATTTTATTTTAATTTCGTGCACACTTTTTATGATACTACTCCATTATTATTATTATTATTATTATTATTATTATTATTATTATATGCAGCGTGACAGATTAATTATGGTAATTAAGAGTGGGAAATAGTTAAGCGAATACTGATGCTCCTTTTCATTTTCGAGATTTGTATTATTATACCACTACGTGATGGAAGCTGTAAGCGTGCAGCATCTTATACAAATTAATAATAAGTGACTCAAGAACGACGACAGTGACATGCTTATATATAATATATATATTTGATTGCAAGTGGCTGCCGCGGAGAGGGGATGGGAGTTGGGAGGGAAGCTTCCGGAGGCTCTGGCCAGCGAGGGTTTACGGTTTAGGGCCTGTTTAGTTTTACTCCAAAATACCAAAATTTTTAAGATTTTTCGTCACATCGAATTTTTGAACGCATGTATGAAGCATTAAATATAAATAAAAAATAAAATTAATTACACAGTTTAGATGAAATCCACGAGACGAATCTTTTAAATCTAATTAGACTATGATTAAACACTATTTATCAAATAACAACGAAAATGTTACAATAGCATTTCGTCAAAAATTTCGGCATCCAAACGGTGCCTTAGAGAGAGAGGCTGCCGCGGGTACCCTCCTGTGTCAGCGAGAGCGGATGGGAGGGAGCTTCTTACTGTAGGTTGAAATGCTGAAATTGACCACGCTGCACCAGTGCAACTGTGCAAGCATATGAGGACAACGCATATGCAACTGGGAAAAAGGGTTTATGTTTCTAGGGGTCAAAAACGATAAGAATGCTTGCACAACACAGGGTTAGTTCCTCTATTGTTAAAACCGATTGCCCCCATCCAGCAACACAACACAAACACAATAGTAAGGGTTTCTCTATTGTTAAAGCCAATCGCCCCCATCTAGCACAACACAAGACAACACAAACACAACAGTGCTCCACTCCCACACCACCACCCATGGCGATGGCGAGGCTTCACGTTGCTCTCTTGCCTCTTCTTCATCGTCCCCGTTGCTGCTCGTCCTCCGGTCATCTCCGTTGCTCTCCGTTGCTGCTCGTCCTCCGCCAGCTTGCGTGGGGACAGGTAATATACTACTACAGTTTGATGATTCTCCACTATATATATATATATATATATATATATATATATATATATATATATATATATATATATATATATATATATATATATATATATATATATATATATATATATATATATACACACACACACACACACGTATTCCCTCTATCCCTATTTCAGAGTCGTTTTAGCCTTCACTCAGGTACATGCAAGATTTCTTGAATTTAGATAGAAGCTCACCTAAATGTATGCATAATGCTTTGAATGGGATAGCTAGAAGCACAACTAAGACGACCCTAGGATGGGGAAGGGGGAGTATCAATGAAGGACCACGGAGCGAGGCAAAGGAAGGTTATTATAGTACTGTACACAAAAACTTTTAATTGGTGATGATTGTTCTGTCTGGTTCGTAGCCTGATGGTTGTTTTTGTCTCCATCTCTGCACTCTGGTTCAACCAATCAAATCAGGTGTCCAGCCCGTAGCTCTGACCAAGACACTCGAGTTCTGTGGAGGGAAGATCGGTGACCCCACCTGCTGCGACGCGGCAAACGACTCCACCATCCATCTGGCTTTCGTCCACTCCTCCTCCAGGCCGTCCAAGACCCACGACGCCGACGCTGCTTCCTGTGCGGCCCTGGTCAAGCGGAGGCTTTGCGCTGTAAGTAGTACTCTCTACTCCTACCTCCATCCTCTCCAACCTCGTCGTACCTTCTGCCGAATGCCTCCACCCGTCCTCCCAAGCTACCGCCGGCAGTGGTGCTGGTGCAGCATCCAGGGGCAGGGAAAGCGCAGGGTTAAATCGGAGTATCGGGCGCGACCCTGCCCGCCGCCGCCTCCCACCATCGTCCACGGCCGCCGGCGACGCGCCGCCTCGCCGCACCGCCGCCGTCCGCCCCCGGTCGCCGACGAGTCCGAGTCCGCGACTTCGCACGTTCCTGATACCGTATCGCCGGCGTATCAGACCGAATCCGTGTTTCTCTTGTAGGGAGCGGAAGACTACGGAATCATAGTCTCGTTCTATAATAACTTGGTTGGTTGTTATTAGATTATTAGATCTGTGATTCCCAGGTGTTCCTACAATACAACTGCCATTTGGCTAGCCTGTGTGATTCGGAAATGAGGTCCGGCTTCCTTAATTTCCAAGTTTTCGTTCTAGTCTCGTTCTGTAGCTAGTTTCTTCAGAGACGGTCCTTTTTTTTTTGCTTCCTTAATTTGGAAGCTATCGCTCTAGTATTCTTATGTAACTAGTTTGTTCAGATACTTCTTCTGGCTTGCTACTTCTTGATCCACCTGGCGCAATAGCAAACTTGCTTGATCGTCAGTCTATGCTTCAAGAAGTATCTGAATTTCTTTGAAAAATGTGTTCTCATTTTTTGTTGGAACAAACCAATCAGTTTCATCATGTTATACAGCATTTCCTTTATTCTTTTTGTTTGAGGAAAAATATTGGCCCTTAAATGATAGCACAGAAACAGGTTTGCTCCATCTGATAGAAGTAATATACTCAATCCATCCCAAATTGTAAGACGTTTGACTTTTTTGACACCAAGTTTGACTACTCGTCTTATTCAAGAATTTGTGTAAAATATCACTTCTTTCGTCGTGGTTTGGTTTATTAATAAATTTTTTTCAAGAATGACTTAAATTTGACTATATTTGTACAAATTTTTTGAATAAGACGAGTGGTCAAACTTGGGGAAAAAAAAGTCAAACGTCCTACAATTTGGGATGGAGAGAGTATTTCCCTTAAAAAAGAAGGTATAAGTGACCAAATAACCACCATGAGGTTGGTTTGGTGTGATTTTAACTCTCAATTTTCAGTACCATTTAGTTTATATCCCATAAGTATCAAAATCAGAGTGCTTAGCTCAACCATGTTGGTTGTACAATATAATTTGCCTCTTTTTTGAAGAATGCGCTTTTCCATGAATTTATATTGACGGAAAAAGATAACAGCAATACAAACATTCTGCCTGCTTAACCAAGGTTAAGAGGCACAAAGTGCAGAAGGGGACCAAATGGCTATTAACACAGAGAAAATTTAACTGACACAGTAGGTGGTTCCATTGCTACCATATCAAAAGTTGAACCATGTCAGCATGCAGCGCAGCAAAATCTCAGTTTTAGGGTGATCTGGACTAGTATTAATAAGCGAGGGATGTAAATTAAATTGTGTTGCAGCTGAGGTGAAAAATAAACTGAAAATGGTTTAGGGGGTACTTGGGACATTTTTTTTGAATTTAGGATACATCAAATTGCCATTTTTGGCTGTTTCCATTTCTGTATTTGAGCTATTCAAACCTAAACTGCTTCAGAATTTATTTTATTTTTATAAATATGCACTGAAGGAATGTTGATAGAAATTCAATTAAGCGAAAGGCACACCTTGTTTCAGTTGATATGACTACCCAATACCTACTTTTGATTTTTTTTCGTGTCCTGTCAATAGCAATGAATATGAGAAAATGCATGTATTATTTTTATACGAACAGTTTTTATTATTCATGATACTCCATGGCCCTGAATAAAAACTATCCCTTGCACAAAAATAATACTTACACTTGATATGCTAAAGCCAGAGTATATTATGTAAACAACGGTTACCGCTCTACTATACCAACCTTGGTAGATGAACATTCTCTCGGTGGAACTAGGTAGTACAATATATTTTTTTTCACTTTAACATGCTACTTCTTATTAGGCTGTAGAGTTCGGGCCTGCTACTCCTTCTTTGATTGATAATTGACCCAATGCACTTGTTAACTAGCTGCTAATTATTTTTGCGCGTGTTCAGTTCCAAAAATACTTCCAAAAAAGTGCTACAGTACCCGTCACATCGAATCTTGCGATACGTGCATGGAGCAGTAAATGTCGACAAAAAAAAACTAATTACACAGTTTTGTTGAAAATCGCGAGACGAACGTTTTAAGCCTAGTCCATGATTGAATACTATTTACCAAATAAAAACGAAAATGTTATAATATCCAAATTTTAACTTTCTCTCTAACTAAACACAGCCTTTGTATCATACCATCCCCTGCACGCAGGTATGTTTCCCTGCATCTAGGATCCCAGCTGACACCTCACTTCCTGCGCCGTGCGCCGCCTTGGCTCCGGCTCACCTGGGGCCGGCGCCTACGCCTCGTCGTCGCTCCTTGGCCAGTCTGGTGGGCACAGTACTTGGGTCACTGCTGGGTGCCATGGGAGCTGCACTTTTGGCATGGGTGATCTGGAAGAAGATGCTACAGGAAGATTCATCATGCCCCAGCATCAATTGTTCCGCCGTCTGCTCCTGCTCCTGCTGCAACAACAGCACGTGCATTTGGTGCTGCTGCTGAGCCGCTCCTTATCCTGACGATTTCTTTCCTTCTCCCTGTCAGTTGCCTCTTTCAAAATATTTTCTATATGATTTGGTTGATTCAGTATAGCTTGATACTGCATTATTGTGCTGTGAGCAAGGTGTGGATCCGACATGAACTAAGAAGGCATACTTTTTCGGTTTTTCCCATCATTAACTTTCTTCCAACTATCAGAAACCTTGTGCTGTAAACACATCAAGAGCACCTCGCTTCTTTATATTTTTGCTGCAAAGGAAACAGAAAAAAAAACAGTATGCACGGCCGCTGCTCTCGGAATATTCCAACCAAGACGGAAATTGACTGAACCAAATATAATTGAAACGACGTCGATGCCCTTGGGGTCCAGAAGGCTTGTATTTTTTCAATAATGGTTGCATAGGACCTAACTGCAAGTATGCTCGCCGCACTTGATCTCTCTGCGACGAGGCGGCGAAGAGCCGACGACCATCACTGCTGTGCTGCAGCCTGCAGGACCATGGGCGGGACGGAGGGAGGAAGACCGACGACGAGTCGCGAGGCAGAGCGGCGGACCCTGCTGCGGTGTACCGGTGTCTGCTCGGCTGGGGGCTCCGGGGCTGGCCGCTGGCGGCGGCGCGGCGCCGTGGTGGACTGGTAGAGCCGTGGAACCGCGGAGGAGTCGTCGAGTCGGTGCGCCGTCCCCCTTTACTCAGCTGTTCTGCTCTCGTTGCTGGGTTGCCTGACCATTGGGCTTTGTGGGCTGAAGAATATTTGGGAATTTTGTTTTAGACAGGGGGGGAGACGGCCGGTGAGAGACACCATTAAGCCAGAATGAGGCCATGCTCCCCCACCGCAAACTCTTTCAGCCGATACGTGGGCATGGGCAGCATAGTGAAGGTGGGGACTGGGGAGGGGACAGAGGCAAGGTAGCGCATCTGTGGACACGAGGCCAACGATGTTGCCCTGATCGCTTGTCCTTATTCAACACTATTTTTCAGCCATGGAACAATATTTTTCTTTCACAATAATTCAGCATAAGAATCCGCGTAAGCCAAATTTTAGCATAAGCGAACAAGGTTCACGCTCGGGGCATAGTCCATGCCAGGCCGCCGCTCGAGAGCTGCAGGAGACCTCGCCCGTGTGCTCTGCTCTCCAGCGTGCGATGGTAGAAGGTGGGTGGGTGGACTAGGGTGCCGCCTGTTTCATCACGTGTACCTTGCTTGGTGGCGGCGCGGGCACTGCTTCTTTGCGAGCGACAAGCAGCACGCGTCGGGAACAAGCGGAGGGGAGAGCAGAGGCAGGCGATGTGCATCTTTTATCTACGGCATTGACAAAAAATAAAAATGAGGGGAGAGAGACCTTACAAATTATAATTTCTGACATCTTCGATCTAGGTTAAACACAAAAAACGTGTTCATTTTGTTTGAAGATTTGCAAGAAAAAAAATGGAATCGTTGTTTTTTCCGACATCACCGTTGTACCAAAATAGAATCATTGCACAAATCATCGTCATTTTTAGTCTAATTTAAATGTGTGAAATTTCATTTTAAAATTTGCAAAAACTAAAATAGAACCTGTTGGATTGAATTGAAAGTTGCTCATGAGACTGTTGACCAGTTTGAATAACATGCATCTCTATATGGCTACGTTTGAGAATTTGGAACGTAGTGGCTTATATTCCAAAAATATATATAAATCTTGTGTTGACGCCGATTTGAGTCATACACAGGTAGAGGCTAGATCGCTCAGACGCCACACATGGACTTGCATGCAGCGGAGGGGGTGTTCTAAGATTGACAGGGCCACTTACAACGTCCACAAATGCCGTTAAGGAACATATAGGACAACAGATGGTTGGAAGAGATAAAATGTTTAATCGTGTAGTTGGATACCTCAATCAGCCGTGTACCCTATGTTTTATATGGAGAAAGGGTGGTTTTATCCTGTTAGAAAATCAATATGGTACTATTTTCGTGTCCTTTCATAGAGTTTTTCTAAGATTGGCCCAAAACTAGCATGGGTCGATTCTAAAATCAGTCTAGGCCCTAGTGTCAACATCTTGATTTTTATGAGTCAATCAATCTCAAATTCAATAAAACATCTTAAAAATGACATATTTATGGTGTGTAAAAAGTATTATTAGGTTAATTATGAGGGTTTTTTTTATAATAAATGTATTCATTTAAATTAAATATATAAATATTCATACTATTTTCTCTAAGTACATTTTTTCGACGGAGGTGGTACCAACGTGTCGTTTAGTTGACATATTTGTGACGTGAGTTGGGTACAGATGACTTAATAAGAGTCCAAGCTAAGCTGATCCTTGATCCTTGTCCTGCCACTGAGGTGCCACTTGCTGCTTCCGTGTGTTCATTTTTCTATGGTGCAGCATCGTTAATTTGTTATTAGTTTATAGCAATAGCATACAAACAGTTTAGGTAGGCTTCTGAATGTTGGAATGAAATGACCAATTCAGTGGCAAATGGAAGAGGAACCCATCTCTTGTTTGGTCGGCAAGGTTGGGTCCATTCCAGTTTTGCGTTTGGTTAGGAGAATTCCTGGAAGTGGGTTGAGTCATTGACATGTGGGCCCCGTTTGCCAGCGTCTCTTCCCTTCTTTCTCCTCCCGTTGAGGTCACGTGCGCCACTCGCCTTGCGCTACAGGACCCATGGTCCTAAAAACATCAAGCACACTTGTCGACATCTACAATCTGCTCTATTTGAGGACCCATGGTTCTAAAAACATCGAGCACACTAGCAGACCACGATGTATAATTTGAGCCATCTAAAAGTAAAAGTTCTAGAGATACCTCCTCACTTGTCGACATCGTTCTCTCAAGGCGGTTAAGCCCAAAATTGAGAGCCAGGCTTTGATACCAATTGAAAGGACCTTGATGTCGCCTAGGAAGCCTAGAGGGGGGTGAATAGGCCTATAAAAATTCAACTCGAAACTCTGTTAGAACAGAGGGCGACACTGCCGGCCTTATAGGGCGGCACTACCGCTCTTCAAAAATAAAGCAGACAACGTTGAGATTTCACAGATAGTAACCTGACCCTCTCAGCTGCTCAATCCTACAACAGAAAGACAAAATCCAGTTCGAAGACTGGATACCACAGAAATCTCACACAAGAGAGGATCGAGCTACCAAACCCTAACAACAGCTAGCAAAGAGCTGAACCAGCAAGAACACAAAGTGAAGCACACGAGACACAAGATTTATCCTGTGGTTCAGCTCGCCACCAAGGCTTGTCTAAGTCCACGTTGTTGAGGTATCCACAAAAGGATTGGCTCGCCACCAAGGCTTGCCTTGCCCCCGTTCTTAAATCAAGAGAATGAACTCTTGAAGTGAGGGGTAATTTCTTAGCTGCAGGATGAGGTTACAAACCTCCCAAGCCTGCCACACGAGTTGGCAAGCACAAGGACGACGTCTAGCCGTCTAGGAGCAAGCTCTAAGAGTAACAAATTCTAGAACCGCCGGCCAAACGTGAACCAAATGCTCTTAGACTTTGGGAATCAGTAGATCTGCTCTCCAATCGAGTTTTGCTGCCTTTTCTCT